TATGTTCCAATATTAACCACTTGACTTTGAAATATGTACACTGAGTCATTAAAACATTTGAGATAGATGTATATATACTTGGTTAGTGGGCAGGTGAATTATGGACATTTAGCATCATTACCCACTGCCATGATCTGGATGCTGTGTCCCCTAAAATCCATCTATGGAAACCCAATCCCCAGGGTGACAGTGAGGGGTTAGGAAGTGGTCAGGTGACAAAGGCAGAGAATTCACAGAGGATCAGTGTCCCTATAAGAGGCCTGGGAGCCTGTGTGTCCCTTTGGCCTGAGGACACAGCAAGAAGGTGTTGTCCATGGAGTGGAGTGAGCCCGCCCCGCCAGGGCCTCGATCTGCCCGCACTGTGACTGAGGCCTCCAGGGATCCAGCTTTGAGCCCTGAGTTTCCAGGGCTGATAAACTGCCCAGGCTAGTGGGGTTCTGCTAGAGTAGCCTGTGCAGACGAGCCACCAGCCTTGTATGACATCAAAGAGAAATACTTGATGTTAAAAAGACACCAGAATTTACATTTATACACTTTTTTATATTTACAAATATGTAAATTGTGAGCATAGCATACAAGGAATTAAAAAAGAGGAACGGCTTTGTTAGCATGTAGGAATATCAGTACTTTAGGTTTTTACATTTTTCTTTAACATTGAGTCAATAAATTTTTATAAGAAAAGTATCCCGTCAAACAAAATGATGTATCTATCCTCACATCCCAAAGCCTTTATTCAGCGCCTTGCCTGCAGCAGAGCGCTCCCAAGCTGCTAGGGAGAAGAATTTCCCGGAGTCCAGCCGTGGCTCCCCAGACGCACCCCAGGCAGACACGAGTTCGCAGTCCGGGGAGGAGCCCGCAGCCCTTATTTTTAACACGCACTGGTGATTTGGCAACCACTAATTTGGGGCAGAGAGTGACGTCACTGTGACTTGAAAGAGTCAAAGCAATTTTCATCCACCAGGTAATTTCCTGATGTATCCCTCTAATTAAGGGATCTCCACCTACTTCTTCCAGAGGCTCGGAAGGTAGCAATGTACCCAGGTAACACAGGGTAACAGAAGAGAAATCAGGAGCTGACTCGGGTTCCTCAGTCGATGAATTGCAGGTCAGGAGTAGGCAGAGAGGACATTTGCGCAAACCACAGGCAGAGTAAGGGACTGCTTTTCCTTTGGTTTGTATCAGTACACGTTTGCAGTACAAACAGCTTACAGCTCTCTTGCGGAGTGGGTCCATGTACATAACACGCTTGGTTTATTTCTTTCTTTCTCTTTTTTTTTTTTTTGTCTTTTTGAGACAGGGTCTCGCTGTGCAGTTCAGGCTGGCCTTGAGCTCACTTTGTAGCCCAGGCTGGTCTCGAACTCCCAACGATCCTCCTGCCTCAGCCTCCCGAGTGCTGGGATTACAGGCGTGTGCCACCACACCAGGCTGGTTTCTTTTTTGAATCCCCTTCCCACTCCTCTCCCTCCCTGCCACCTCCTCTAAATCCCCTTTCCTCATTTCTGTTCTGGTTGATGTTATCAGTCTTAGCTCCTGTTTACCGCGTACAATGTTTACAGCGCTGGAGGGGTATACTGGGTCCTGTACACACTGCATCTTTATTCTACCTCTCCCCCTTAGTCTCTGGACCCCTTCCCATTTCCAAGAGATCCATACCCTTGGCCCCTTCTATCCATCCTCTATTGATCTCTTTGTTTGTACTTTGCCTCACTCAAATAACAGATGCCATATGGAATTTAAGCATGCGTGTCCGGTTTATTCACTCAGTGTTGTATTTTTAGGTGCGTCCATTTCCCTGTAGATGTCTCACATTTGTCTTCTTTGTATAGATTTGTATAGATGCCACATTTTCTTTATCCAATCGGCTGTTAATGGGCGTACAGGCTGCATCCAGGATTTAGCTTGTAAGTGGCATTACAGTGCCTGTGATGACAGATAGGGAAGAGGGCAACGACAGAAGGAAGGAGGTGAGAATATACAATCATGCTTCCCACGAGCAGAGGGAAAGATGTCCCTGCTTCTCATTTCCTCCCCATCCTCAGCCCAGGCAAGGTTGAGCTGCAGCAGCCCAGCTGGCGCTTACAGACTAAACGCTGTGAGGATTCCCGAGGGCGGTGGCCTCATGTCCGTTCGTAATGTGCGGCAAGGTGGCAGTGTCCTGAGAGTCTAAGAACTGCGGGGCTGGGGCCGAGCTCTTGCCCAGCACTCATAAGGCCCTGGGTTCATCCAGCGCCACAAGAATAACCGTGGGTCTGCCGCAGGGCCGCCGGGAGAACACGAGCGCCCCTGGCCCGGGCTTCTGTGCTAGGTCCTTGACCAGAGCCCACTCCTCGTTTCAGGCAACCGTCAGACTCTGCTGGCCAAGGGCAGTCACATCTCCTAGTGCCTTCCACTGTCCTGGACCAGGGCTCCCAGCCCAGGTGAGCGGTCCCTGCAGGTCCCCTCCAGGGTCCGGGTGTGGCTGGGAACCGCCTTTGCCAGCAAGTGCCTTTCTCAGTCAGCCCTTCCCCACCTCCTGCTCCCAAACGTGAGCCTTAAACCACAGTTCTGCCCCAACAGCCAGGAAAGATGTCCTGTGTGGAGAACATGGAGACCGAGGTTGCTGCGCCCCTTTAGAGGCCCCCTGCTGGCTACCCCGCCCTGATGGGTAACTGCCGCTCAGCTCTGGCCCCACCAAACGCCCTTCATCCCCGCCCCATCCCTGCCCTAGAGCAGCATAGGAGAGGTGGGATGCCAGACACATTGGAGGAAGCCCAGGGACAGCTATCTGCATGCACCAGCCGTGAGGCAGCGCCATGCACAGAGGTCCCTGTAGAGCCACGTGCACAGGCCTTTGCCTGTAATTCCAGCTACTAGGGAGACTGAGGCAGGAGGAGCGCAGTGTGAAAGCCACCAAGAGCGATTTAGAAAGACCCCGTCTTACTAAGGGTTGGGTATACCTCAGCACTACAGCTTTGGCCAAGCATGCACGAGGCCCCCTGGGTTCAGTCCCCAGTATCAGGAGTTTAAAAAAACAAAAGCCTTCATAAAGGTGACAACTGCTTGTTCCTTTCAGAGACAGCAAGGCCTCAAGAAGCTTGGCCTGGGAGGGGGCAGTGGGCGTCTGGCTCCCCCAGCCCTTCCAGCCTGTTCTCTGGGACACTTCGCTCACATGTATATCTGAGCCAGGACTGGGCTCGGGCAGCGCTCAGGCCCCTCCGAGTCTGGGGGCACTCCCGCAGCCCCCTCGCCCTCCGCAGGACTTCTCCAGCTGCTGCCCTGTCCTGTGCGTGCAGCCTCCAAGGCTGTTAGTTAAATAAATTTCTTTTCTTCAGACATTACCCAACTTCAGAAAATTTGTTATAACAATGGAAATAGATTAATACAAAGCCCAGGGTGGGAGATTTAAAGAAATATATTCAAAGATTTCACAACAATGCCAAGTAAAATAGTGCTTTATGCGCCCGGTGAATGGAGAACGCATGCCTGTTCTTTTATTTATTTTTATTTTTTGGCACCAGGGATCGAACTCAGGACCTTGTGCTTGCCAGGCAGGCACTTGTGCCACTGAGCTACATCTCTGGCCCAGAATGCCCATTCTTACTACCAAAAGTATCACTAATTAATTTCTCACTTGAGTCCCCCCCTCCCCCGTCTCTCAACCTTTACTCACACTTAGCTTTTTCTGCAGTTTCCAAGTCTATGGCACAACAATTGATTCCAAAACAAAGCTGCAAAAGAAAGGTCATGTTGGAAACCTCTAAGACTAAGACCCAGAACTAAAGAACAGAATGCTTCCAAATTTAGTGATTTGTACACCACTGCCTTTGTCACAGGGTACGAGGAGGAGGCAAAATTACAGAAATATTAAGCAATCTTTAGAAACTTTTTATTCTGAAATGATTGTAAAATAGTGCAGGGTCTCTCACTTTGTTCTCATCAAATTCTAACATTTTGTTATATTTACTTTATTAATCACCTTCTCTATTTGAACTATTTGAAAGTAAATTGAGGAATCAGTGCCCTTCACCCTTACATAACTCAATGTGTATTTTCTAAGAATTTACAGGTTCACAATACAATTGTCTAAATCAGGAACTCTGATATGATTATAATATAGTTATCTAAAAGTGTCAGTCAAAATTTTGCCAACTGTCATATTCTTCTTTTTTTTGGTTTTTCTCCGGTACCGGGAACCAAACTCACGACCTTGCGCTTGCCAGGCAGGCGCTTTTGCCACTGAGCTAAATCCCCAGCCCCTGTCATATTCTTCTTCATAGCTATTTTCCTCCAATCCAGGATCCAATCCAGGATCGTCCGTTGATTTCATCAGTCACCTGTCTCTTTAACCTCTTTCAATCTGGTGCAATTCTTTTTTGTTTTTCTTTTTTTTTCATTTTGGGACAGCGTCTCACTATGCAGTTCAGGCTGGCCTTGAACTCACTTACGTAGCCCAGGCTGGTCTCAAATGGCAATGATCCTCCTGCCTCAGCCTCCGGAGTGCTGAGATTACATGTGCCATCACGCCTGGCTTTTTCTAATTACATTCTGATCGCTTCAAAAAGCAACCCTGCATCCGTTAGCAGCCACGCCCTTTCAATACTCCCCCGACATCTCAGCGGGATAACACAGTATGCGCTTCCTTGTGTTTGCTTTCTTTGGCTTAACACCTTTCCAAGGTTGATCGATGCTGTTTTTAATCGGCATTTTATTCTTCGTGTTTGCCTAAGTATTGCTGTGATTCTTGGAAACAGATGCTCCACACCATTCCAGTAGCACTTCTTAGGCAACATTATTTTATCGCCCTGTAAGAGGTGTAGCAGTGAATTTCACTTGGACAGACAGACTCCCTTGCCCTCTAGCAGCTTGCGATGGTGGGTACAGGGCCCACGACGGCCGCCTTTCGCGGGGTTGCCACTTGCGCCCTGATCACCTGGAACCTGACCCGCAGCCGGCTCCTCCTTCCGCCCCGCCCCTTGCCGGCGCCCCGCCCCGCCGGCTCAGGAGGAGGACGTGACGCACCGGAAGCGCCCCGGTCCCCTCGCCGCGGGGGAAGGGCTCTCGCTCCCAAGATGGCGGCCGCGGCGGAGGAGCGGATGACTGAGGAGGGAGGCGGCAGCCACGGTGACGGCGGCGCTTCTTCGGCCGCGGGCTCTGCCCAGCGACAGCCCCCGCCTCCCCCGGCCCAGCCCCCGCAGCCGGGGTCCCAGGCGCCCCCAGCGCCGGCGCTGGTTCCGGACCAGCTGCCTCAGAACAACACGCTGGTGGCGCTGCCCATCGTAGCCATCGAGAACATCCTCAGCTTTATGTCCTACGACGAAATTAGCCAGCTGCGCCTGGTGAGGCCCGGGACCCCGCCGCCCTCGGTGCGGCCACGGTCTGGGCGGCGGCGCGGGC